GTGATGGACAGAGAGCCTTGCTGTGGGTCTGTTTCTCTTTAGGACAATCAGATACACAACAGAGTGGCTGACCTCTTAAGCACTTTGTACCATTGCTAGTGAAAATCAATAAGAGTTAGATTTGTAGAGACTTCCCGCAAACACTATAAATGGCATTCGTTGGACTGATTGATGGTTTGTTCCTGAACACAGATCTCTGCTCTTTAACACAACGGAGGGAACCCTATTCCCTGGTCAGTGTAAGCAGAGCTCCTTACAACACTGCCTGCGCCGTGAACCCAAAGCCCCATTCTGTACCTCTGTAAAATTCCCTTCTCCTAAACCTTTTGAGTCTCGCGACCATTCCTGGTCAGGTTGAAGAATTAGTGCCACGTTTACTTTGCCAGAATCCAAGAGTCAACATTGAGCAACAAGTACAAACAACGCAGTGGGAAAAGACATTGGGGACAGGTGAGGACCTAACACAGCCTCGAGCACAAACCTCTTACATCGTACCATCGTGCTTAAAATTTCCTGCCGCTGAAAGCAAACCACTCCACACAATTGCCACGGGGAGCCACGGTTTTCTCAGTCGTAACTTTTTATTATTATTTATTTATTTATTTATTTAAACTTTAGCTCAAAAAAAGACGTCTCGAGTTCAAAAGTGGTTCTTTTTCATCTGACTCCTTAACTGGGGCAGGGCAGATCAAAATCATGGCCTGGCTTCCCTATCCTACACCTCAGAGGGTTAGATACCTCAGCTATGCTCCTCACCAGACTGTAGCCTTGTCCCATTCTCCGGTTAATAATAATAATAATAATAATCCTTGCATTTGATAAAGCACCTGATCACGTCTTCAAGACGTCCCAAAGGACTTCACGGAATTTACCGTAAAAAGTGAATTGACTATATATTTTGTGTGAGAAACTCGGCAGCCAATTGCGTACAGCAGTGTCCCACAAACAGTGACCGATTTTTTCATTTGAAGGGATTATTACCACTGGAAAAGCAAAGTTTTGCCCTGCCCGGGACTCAAACCCAGGTCCTCTCGCTTGCGAGGCTAGTGCTCCGACCACTGAGCGACCGGGACTCCAAAATATACGGGTGTACCAAACAGCCTTGATATAGAAATCTCAACATAAAAGCAGAGCTTTTTTTTTTTAACGGCACATTTAAAATAAATGTACTTCGCACAGACTACGGACAAAAATATATAAATCTTTTCGAGTGCTTAACAAGAAGTGGGCGAGAAGAGACAATAATAACTGGACCTTCCAAAAATCCAGTGTTTGATTAACAGCCGTCCGAACAATGTGCAACATTTGACTGGGAGTCGGAAACCAATGTGCAAAAAAAAAAAAGAACATTTAAAAGCACACACGAGTCAGTGGAGGACAATTCTAGGCGTCAGTTCAAAATGGAAATTAGTTTTAGAATTAAAAAGATCTGGGGGGAAAAAAAGGTAATTAGTTAAAAACTAAGGTTGGACAAAAACAAAATGGAGGACGATCCCCCCCCCCCCCCCCCCACCCACTCCCGCCCCCAATTCTGCCGACACGGAACCATTCCGGGTTAATCTCGGTCTCTTAAAAACTGATGATGTCACAGGGTTTCCTTCTTTAATCCCCCCACAACCCACCCAACCACCCACCCACCCCAGTCTCGTAACTTCACAGAACAATCCTTCTCAAAGCAGCAGCTGAAGAGTTAATTAACAAGGCGCACATTCGTTCCCTCATCCCCTCCTCTACTCCGTCACAGCGCCTTGCTCCCGTGAAGCCTTCTTCATGCAAGTAAGGATCGTTAAACCCTTCCTCCCCGTCTAAAAATCTCCAGTGCTAATTCTGTGCCTTGACGGCGCTGGACATTGGCTGGATGAAGCAGGCACTTTCCTCTCTCGCTCACTCCCATGTCAGCAGGCCAGCCCGGCACGCACACGGTAGGGACAGCCATGTTAAGTAGGTGGCTGGCGTGGCCCAGTCAACGGATAGGGAGCCTACGAGCAGCGGCAGGCATCCGAGGTGGAAATTTTCCTCTCGTTTGCGAGGCTACCCTCGCCCGCCATCCCTGGTCTTAAAATGTAAGAATGTGCAGGACTGGGCAAAGTTCTTAAGAATTCGGCCTCAATTCGGAAGCCGTTTCCCAGTCGAGATGGTGGGAAACCGACCTCCAAAATGAGGGTAGGATTTAAGAAATTTCCCAAATTCTGGCACAGTCTTAAAAGCTTAAGACAACGTGACTTGACAAGTCGGGCGGAATATGCATCCTCTGCACTGTACTGCACTACTGGGTCTCAATCATAAATATACACTAATATTCTTAAAAAAACTGGACATTTGGATAAGTACTTTTAATAGATAAGAGCAACAAGTCAGTTGTTTAAAAAAATATATTAACCCTCTCCCAGTAACCCTATTATGTCAGAAATATGGTAATTTACATGATACAACTAAGAGTTAAAAAAATAAATAACTGCATTACTCCTACGTTGACACACGAGACTTAGTTCTCCATGACTTTCGCTGCTAACCCCACTCAGCTTCTGGGCTGCACCAAAGTACCACGGTGGGCAAAGCCACCCCAGCCTCTCAGCCACGCACCATCAGTAGATGGAGCCATTAGCTCCAGGAAGAAGCTACAAGCTTCAGACAGCGGAGGCCCGAAATTCCACCTGGTCTTAGCCTGTAAGGCTATTATTTATTATTTGCCTTAAAATTTCAGTTTGTGGAAAATTCCTCAAACGGGTCTTGTGGAGTCCTGTAGCTCAGTGGTTAGAGCACTCGCTTTGCCAGCGAGAGACCTGAGTTCAATTCCAGGCAGAGGGCGAAACCTCGGGCAAGTTTCCTTACTCCACACAGAGCCTAATAATAATCCCTCCAAAACCAAACACAATAATAAAATTGGTCATTTTCAATCTACGACTGTTTGTGGGACATCGCTGTGCGCAATCGGCTGCCGCGTTCGCCCACAAATATACAGTCAATTCACTTTACAGTGTGTTCTGTGAAGCGCTTTGGGACGTCCTCCCGACGTGAACAGCGCTATATCAAATACAAGGAAAAAATACAAGGATTAATTTCGAAGCCTTTTCTTTTCTATGATTAAAAAAAATGAAAGAATCTGGCTTCCAAGTTGAGGCCGAAATGTAAGAATTTTCCATAATTCTATGCCAACTGAAAAGAGACTAAATGGTCTGACAGGCTAAGACTAGGTGCAACGTGAAGGCCTCGGAGGTTCTGCCGTCCCGCTGGTAAACGGTAAGCCATCGAGCAGTGTCGACTATGAACTATGAGCAAGTAGGAACAAAACATTTTGTGTACGCCATTTTCAAAATGGTTGGCTGCACTGTGACATCATCAATCTTTTTTGGGTGATGGGGGCGGGTGTGGGGGGAAGGGGAGGGAGAAAAGGGGAGGGGAGGGAGGAGAAATAACTAGCTCCGACCATTTTCCACCAATTCAAAGCATCTGGTTAGCTAAGATTGTACCATGGTAGTTATGATATCCAACAGTGAGAACGAGGTAGGTTGGATATAGACACAATATGGATTCTCTGATCTCTCCACAACAGCTCCTCAAGTCGACTCGCCCTCCCTCCTGTGCCTGGGTGTTGGCCGAGCGACCGTGTGTATTTGCCAGGCCGCTTCACGCCCTGGCGCACAGAAGTGGTCGCTTCGCCCAGAAATAAAAACAAAAGACCGAGTTGTTGGTTCGATGCCCTGCTGGGAAGCCTAGCTGGCGCACTGATAGCTCGACTGGGATCCCACATGGCTCGACTGTGCGGTGGGTTGGACGAAGCGAAAGGTGAGGGGCGACGCAACAGCTGGGTCCAAGCCTGCCACCACGGTGAAACGAAGGAGGCACGCTGGCCACCACATACAGGGCATCGTCAAGATAAGATCGATTTTAAAATTTTGCTCTCGTAAAAAAAGGCGAATCCGACATTTCACCCTCTCCCCCCACCCCGCCCCACCCCCCCATCAGAAAACCTGGCTAGACACCGTGGCTGTGAGGCGAGGTAGCCAGATCACAAAAACATTGGGATTAATCCACAGTTTTTGAACTGGGTGGGAGGGGGTTCTTTTATATATATATATATATTATATATGTATAAAATACATGACGGAGGCAAGTCTTTTCTCCCGTTAAAACTGCTGAAATCGCAGATTTTAAAAGCCATACATACAATCCTTTCGACCCATTATTTGTGCGTGTTGTGTTTTTTTTAAAAAAACATCCTTTTGTAAAAACCCAGAAGCTTTTTGAAAATACGTTCAGAATCGTAAACATAGGTAGTTTCGGGTAAAAGTCCTTTGGACCGGTTCCTGCGAGCGAGGGAGGTTAAAAGCTTCGTGGGACGTCACAAAGGGTCAGTAGTTTGCACCAGAAGACTATCGTAGCATCTTCCACAATGACAAGACTTGTGCAAGCAGTTTGGGGCACCTTATTGTCATCTAGAGGTTAAAAAGCACACTTAAAGCCAGCCCGTTCAACCGGGATTCACCGGGATTGAGCGTTAGTAAGAATTTAAAAAAAAAATCTAACTTCAATTCATCCCCGTTAAAACATTTAAAACGTATCGGTTAGTTGTTGGGAGGGAGAGATAGAAAAAAAAAACACACAAGAGGAAAACATTTTTAAAAATGGGCCCCAAAGGGAACATTCTCAGGAATTGGTATCAACAGGAAGATTGAACCCTGGGGAAAAGGATTTTTTTTTTTTTAAAAAAAACCTCTCAAGTCCAGGTAGATAGCAGTTACACTCAGCTTTAATTTGGCTGCAGGTGTGTGTGTAAAAAAAAATCCAGGAGGGATTTTGTATCGGGGGGGGGAGGGGGAGAAGGAATCCAAATTCAACCCAGTTTGCTCTGCAGATTAATCCCTGAAAACACAGATATCTTGTCCAACCCTAGTAAAGAACACTTCCTTCTTTAGATGAAGTCAGTGCAAAGGGAGTAGAAAAGTATAGTCCATGATGGTTCACACGCGCTCGTTCTCTCTCTCTCTCTCTCTCTCTCTCGCTCTCTCTCTCTCGCTCGCTCTCTCTCTAGCTGAGAGAGAGAGAGGCCTAACTCACTTTGTGCTCTCCCCGGACGATGTGCGAGGAGAACTCGTACCGGTCTTGGCTGTGGTGGCCGCAGATGTTGCACTCAAACGGGTCTCTGAAACCATGGCAACCCATGTGTATGGTAAACATCACGTGGTCGAGAAAGAGCACCCGGCAGTGGTCACACTTGTAGGCCTTGACCTTCTCCCCGTCTTCATTTAAGACTCTTAGGACCTCTTTGGCTGAGCTTGGGGCTGCTTTGGCAGATGACCGAGGCTCCTGTGCCTTTGGGTCCTCTTTGGAATAGGCCGGGCTTTGCCTTGTGGTATAGTTACTAGGGAAAGTCTGGGCGTGCCTGTCTTCGTGGCTGCTCTCTGTATCTGTGGAATCGTGACAGCCGTTGCTGGGAGACACGCCGAGCTCCACCAATTGGTTCTTGGCTCGGGAACTCAGCGTCCCGCCTTCAGACACGTCCTCGTGTCCCTCGGCTGCCTCACGGCTGCCGTGGGCCTCGCCGCGGGCCTGGATGGGATGGACGTGCGAGTAGACGGCGCTGATCACCGGCGTGATCTCCGGCACGCAGCTGGTCACCGGGAGCCTGGGAGGCTTCATGGCTTCCGATCCCAGGAAGGACAGAGCGCCGCCCAGACTGGGGTCCATGACGTGGGGAACCATCATCTCCACGTCCTTCTCAAAATTGGAGTTCATCTCAAAGTGGACGTCGGAGAGGTTGAGGCGCATGTGTTTATCACCTGAAGGAGAGAGGGTTTGATTGCCAAAATCAGACACACACAGAAAACCAAGCTGTAGGGATGATAACATTAATCCTTGCAGTCGATGTAGCCCCTTATCGTTGAGATGTCTCAAAGTGCTTCACAGAATACACTGTAAAGTATAGTGACTGTGTATTTTGACAGCCAATTGTGCACGGCAGCGTCCCGCAAACAGTCGTGGATTGACTGACAACATTTATTTATTTATTCTTAATACACACAGGCACTGAAATAGGAATACTTATACATTAACAGAACCACAGTTATACAGTGATGCAGAACGGAAACAGGCCACTCGGCCCAACTAGTCTGTGTCGGTGTTTATGCTCCACATGAGGCCCCCACCCTTCTTGTTCCCCTCACCTGTACTCCCTATGCCCTTCTCTCTCGCTGAAGGTAGGAGAACAACAACAACTTGTATTTACACAGCGCCCCTCATGCAGGGTAGCGTGTCAGAGCGCTTAACAGTGACACAGCGCAACGTCGAGCAGGAGGGAGGTGACCGTAGGTACGATCAAAGAGAAGGTTTTCAGGCCCGACCTGAAGATAGGGAAGGAGGAGGCGAGGCGGAGGGATTGAAGGAAGGGTGTTCCAGAGTTTCAGGACTTGGTGGCTGAAAGCGCAGCTGCTGATGGTGGAACGGAGGGAAGTGGACAGAAGAGGCTCTTACCCACAAATTTCTGGGGAGTAGATCTTTTTCGTTTTGCGATGCTGTGAGCGAGCCGGTCTATGAAGGAAGGCCTGTCAGGGGCTGGCTGAAGGATATGGTCAGGCATCACATCCATGTCTCGGCTCTCCTCCCCTGCTGACGAAAGTAAACACCCTGAAATCAGGCGACAAAATGAAGGGATTATAAAGGCAACTATGGAAATTGTGACTTGCTTCAAACTGAGTTTCACTGCTATTGGCACTGAATGCCGGTTAAAAAGGAACCGTGAAAAACAAACATGCAAATTACATCAAAGGTTCTAGTTAGGGCTTTTATGAATAGCAAGCAAAGGGGATGTGGGCCCCTTGAAAACTGGACGTAGGTAAATAATACTAATAATCCTTGCATTCGACAAAGCGTCTTATCACATCGTTGAGAGGTCTCAAAAGCGCTTCGCAGAATGCACTGTCGAGTGGATTGACTGTCTATTTCGTGGCGAAATAGTTAAGACGGTAATGAACAATAAGAAAATGGCAGAGCGGATACTGAGTACTCCGTTTCAACCTTCATAGTGGAGGATAAAGTACAACAAATCTACATTTATATACAGTGCCTTTTACGTCGGGAGGATATCTCGAGGCACTATACTAGTGGTGCTGGAAAATCTGAAGCTAAATCAGGGGGAGGAACTTGTAGGATTTAATAAAGTTAAAAAAAAAGAAATGGAGAAACTAATAGGAATCGAAATAGGCAAATCTGCGGGACCTGATGGTTTTTACCTCAGGGTATGAATGAAATTAGTGAAGAAGTTGCAGACGCACGAGTCAGAATGTTACAAAGCTCTCTGGATTAGAATGTTTCTAAGATCACGCCAAATAAATATTTATGTATATATATACACACACATATATATATTAAATACCATTCAGCCAACCCATATAAATCTATATATAAATACATATATCTATATCCCTGACTGTACAGCACTTTGGGATGTCCTCCTCACTTGAAAGGCACTAAATAAATGTAATTTTTGTAATGTAAAATGTATTGTATTGCGTCTACAAAATACACAGTCAATCACCGTTAGTATTACATCGGTTGTGGGAAATTACTGGAATCCAATCATCAGAGACGACACACAAGCTGATGAAATGGAGTCAGCATGGATTGTGAAAGGGTCATGTCTGACCAGCGAGTGGATTTTTTTTTTTTTGAAGTGGTCACTGACAAGGGGGACAAGAGATATATTAGAGAATGTTCCGGACAAGAGGTAATTGGCGGAAACTAAGGCATGTGGAATTGGGAGGCCTCCAATGGATCGGAAATCAGTTGGGAGACAAAAAAAAAGGGCATTCTCTGATTGATGAGGTGTTATAATAATAATAATCCTTGCATTTGATATAGCGCTTTTCACGTCGGGAGGACGTCTCAAAGCGCTTCACAGAACACACTGTAAAGTGAATTGACTGTATATTTGTGGGCGAACGCGGCGGCCAATTGCGCACAGCAATGTCCCACAAACAGTCGTAGATTGAAAATGACCAATTTATTATTGTTTTGGGTTTTGGAGGGATTATTATTAGGCTCTGTGTGGAGTAAGGAAACTTGCCCAAGGTTTCGCCCTCTGCCTGGAATTGAACTCAGGTCTCTCGCTTGCAAAGCGAGTGCTCTAACCACTGAGCTACAGGACTCCAGATTGATCTGCACTGAGACCTCAGCCTTCCCCCATGCCTGCTCAGGCTTGGTAGCTAGGTATCAAGGGGATGCGATGAAAGGCCAGGGAAATGGTATTAAATTGCAGATCAGCCGATTACGTAATGAAATGGTGGAACTGGCTTGACAGGGTTGCATGATCTCTTGTTCCTACATCATATACTGGAGCCTTGGCAACAGAAATCTCAGGCATTTGATCGTGTTTGTTTAGAGCATTTTCTATCACAATGAAAAACACTTACAAGCGATGTTGGATTCCCAGGTTTCTAATTGCTATTTGGAATTTAGCCCACAACACCACGCAATCATATTCATTTTACGTTTTTTTCCCCGGAGGGGTCAGTGAAGCGACACGATATGCAATTGGAACCCCAAGCCATATTAAAGGATTCTCCTCACGCTATTTATATTCACCACACTGCTGCTGTCACTCACTGAAGATGCAAACCATGCACCGTGGAGTTGTAACGGCAGTGCCTAGCTCGAATCAAGGTGGACTGTGCCTTTAATTGGCTTGCACCCCTCCCAACTATCCTGTTTCAACTGCATCAGGAATTGCATGCCAAGCATCAGGCTTTTTAATCCAACTCTCAGAAAGAATTTAAATCAGGTATGAGGTGAAACGTTTTGACGTTATTCCTAGTGCAAGAACAGAATTTTCCTTTGGGGGGAGGGAGGTGGAGGGGAATGGTCAGCCGAGCGCCTGACACACATGGAAACCAATCACTCCCACCCCCCCCACCCATACCTTATGATCCAAATCATCTGAGTCCCCTAATGCAGGGAGATTTCCTCTCTGGAATGGAGTATGTACTTTTTTCCCCCGGAGAGATACGCACGCACTCCTTATCTAATCCTTGGTGCGCATTCCATTCCAGTATGCGGGAATTTCCATGGGCCGGTGGCATGCATGGAATTCTCAGTCTGGTTTGAATGCCCTTAAACACACAATGGTGGGTTTTTCTGCCTACGTCAGACTGGCTCGGCTGACCCAAAACAAAATGCACACTGCAACGACCAAAATAATAAGACTTTTAACATTCTTGACCCTCTCAATGGTGTTGAGATACTGGCTGCAAGTTCGAAACGCCTGTCCGTGCAACACACTGCCCTCTGTAGTGCAAGCCCGGAAATGAGAAAAGTATCAACAACAACAACAAATTACATTTGTACAACGCTTTTCACATTGTGAGGATGTCCCAAGGTGCTGGACGGACAGGGATTTCTGTACAGAAGCACACCGCGATGCTACCCTGCGTGAAGGGCGTTATATAAATGCAAGTTGTTGTTGTTGTTGGATTTGGACCCAAGTTGGGGTTTGGGATCATGAGGGGTGGAGGGTAGGGATGGTAGGGATAGGAGGGTGACCCAAGGCACGGTCGAAGAGGAGGGTCTTGAGACGGGCCTTCAAGCAGGCAAGGGAGGGGGCAAGCCCGTGGGATGGAGTTCCAAAGGGTGGGGGCAGAGAGGCTGAAGGCCTGACCGCCGATGGTGTTTGATGATGATGATGAGGTTCGAATCACATTCAGGGCAGAAATTGGGGCTTTAATTTGCCTCAGTGCCCCAGTTAGGGAGGGGTATAATCAGCCAGGGTTCTTGCTCGCTCATAATTCCTATCCCAGTGACATTCACTGGAACAGGTGGCAGCCAGGTAAAAAAACAACTGGACTGGGTTGTTATACCCTCTCTGGTTGAATGGGTAGTTGGCACTTGCTGTTTGGGCTCGCCATTGAAGAATAGCCACTTGGACTGAGTGCCAGGCAGAGTGCAGAAGTCAGTGAACCTCGTCACACCAACAGCTGTCAGCTGGAGCAGAAGCGGATCGCAGAGCATCCTATACAATGGGATTTTTCAAAGAGGCCGTGAGATAAATTTCTTTGGACTTTGCGGTTTCCGGAGTGCAGAAAGGGAAAGCAGGAAAAAAGTTCAGAGTCCTGCTTTTTGTGAACTTGCTGCTGTGTCCGGGGTGCGTGGGACACTATGGAGTCCTGTAGCTCAGTGGTTAGTTAGCGGGCTCACCTCACAAGCGAGAGGAACCGGGTATGATTCCCGGGCAGGGCGAAACGTTAGACACTGCTGCGCGCAATTGACTGCCGCATTTCCTCTACAAAATACAGTCAAACCACTTTACAGTATATGCTGCAAAGCGCTTTGAGACGTCTCAACGGAGTCATAAAGCGCTCTATCAAATGCAAGGATTATTATTACTATTATTATTATGGGCAGCAGTGAAAGCGCCTCCGGCTGTGATGGCTAAGAATCCGACCTCACAAAAATCTCACCTGGACGGAGTCAGTGATGATGATAATAATAATCAGCGACCAGGCGGTGGTTCGGCTCAATGAAAAAACACAACACAACCCGAGCGAGTGCCTGTCAAACCCTCCCCGGCACGAAGGCGAGACACTCGAGTGCTCAGCAGTACACAAAAAGCAATTTGCGAGATGGTGGAGCAATCACAAAATTTACATCTTTATACAAAAAAAATCACATCGTTGTCAGCGGTTCTGTCAGCATCTTCATTAAGAAGGGTCAGTGCGCACAGTCACGACAAGCAGAGCGGCACGAGAGAAACAATAGGTAACTGACACTGATAGAAATTTCACTGAAGCTCTGGTAACGCACTACATTCGCGGTGTTCAGATTAAAAGGGTGATGTAGAGCTCCTGCAAATTAAGACATCCTGTGCATACTTTATGGTCTCGACAGAGTGAAGAGCTCAGTGGGTCCACAAGGATTCGAACCCACAACCTTCTGGTTTCCAATTCGGTACTGGACCAAGATCTAAAAAGGAAGTTCGAGGAGGGGAGGGGGAAGGCTATGCTTCGCTGGTGAGATGGCTGGGTGGGGGGGGGCAGAGAGAATCAGCCTGGCACGGTGGTAGCAATTGAATCAGAAGGTTGTGGGTTCGAGCCCCGCGTCAGGACTTGGAATCACACACTGACATTCGAATGCAGTGCTGGGGGTGGGGGTGGGTGGGGGCGCGGGGAGCTGTTGCATTGGCAGAGATGCCATCTTTAGGATAGCTCAGGTGTTAAATGTTCAGGTAGACATTAAAGATCCCGCAGCACTTTTCAAAAAGTGAAGGGAGTTTCTCCTTCCCGGTGTCCTGGAAATTTAGTCACTCACTATTGGGATATTGCTGTGCGCAAATTAGCCGCCGCGTTTCGCCCCAAAAGTACACGGTCGATCCAATTTACAGTGTATCCTGAGAAGCACTTTGCGATATCTTAATGACATAACGTACCAAATGCAAGGATTCTTCTTCTTCTTAATAAGAGGGATGCCTTGCTCCCTCCCTCCCCACTTTCAAATCCCACCTAAAGACCTTCCTTTTTGATCGTGCTTACAATCACCTCCCCACTCCCTCTGGCTCAGCATCAGACGCCGCCACTGTCATATGCTCCGGGAAGCCACTCCGCGTGAAGGCGCTATATAAACCCAAGTTGTTGCTGGTGACATCGGGGGTGGGTGTTACAGACCCCGTTGGTGATGGGGATGGAGTGGGCGGGGTAGGCCATTTTGATAACACAGGGGCGTAGAGACATCATTGATGACATGAGGTAGAACGGACCTCAGTAGTGACATGAGGTACACACCTTGCTGAGCAGTTGGCTGTTGGGGCTCAGCGTTCAGACTCTGCAAGTAGTTGTGACAGCGTTCCTTGTGCTCCTCCAGTGAGCTCTGCTGCTTGTAGCTCCGGCCACAGTAGTTGCACTTGTAGGGTTTGCCGACAGTGGGGGAGGAGACTGGAGAGAGAGAGAGAGAGAGAGAGTGTGAGAGAGAAAGAGAATAAGATGAGCCTTAAAAGGTCATGCAGGAAGGCTGACAGATGGCGCTACAGTAAGCTAACATTTCTCTTTCCATTTTCAATTTGTTTTTGAAAAGAAAACAGTCCATTTGCAGTTCCAGCTGAACAGCCAACACAAACAGCCAACACGAGGCCATTCACTACGTTTGACACTGATTGCCCGCGAAGGGCTTGGAGTGGTTGCGTACAAGTTCCTAGTTCAGAGGCTCAATTGAAATAAAAAGTTACCTCTATTGTGCTTCTGAGAGCAGACACGCACGCTCCTACGCAAGGCTCTGTGTCAGTTGCAGCATTCCATCCCTCCAGGGAGAGAGGGAGGGAGCGAGAGAGTGTGCATTCCACTCCAACAAACTGTCTCTGGGATTCCCATGTGGAGGTGGGATGCATGGAATTCTCAGGTTGGTTTGGAGACTCTTAAGCAACGGTGATGGGTCTCCTTCACTTCAATCGGAATTTCGAACATTTCATTGCCCCGGACGTTCGTACTTTATGCACCAATTTAAATTCAATGCACTCCAAATGGCAACTGGTTCCACAGATATGAATCGCCGAGACCCGCAGGCGCAGTGGTGAGCGCGCTCGTCTCGCAAGCGAGAGGACTCGGGTTCGATTCCTGGATGGGACGAAGCCTTAAGCAAGTTTCTTTGCTCCACAATCCTCTGTTTACCGAACAATAAGTAGGAACCCGGTTGTTAGTCACTCAATCCATGACTGTTTGTAGGGCACTGTTGTGCGCAATTGGCTGCCGCATTTCGCCACCAAAATACAAGGTCAATTCCCTTTGCAATATATTCTGTGACGTGCTGTGAGACGTCTCAATCAATGGGATGCGACGCGATATCAAATGTAAGGAGTACTATTATCATTATATTTAAAAACATCATCATTTGCATAACCAGGGTTGGGGGTGGGGGGGAAGGAGGCAATATCTGTCCGGACGTCAAAAAAAACAAGTTGAGATAAGCAAATCGCGTCTGAATACAATTAGGAATCCCAACTGTGATTTCCCCTCACTCATGCCCTAATCGCTCATATATAATAATAATCCTTGCATTTGATACAGTGCCTTATCACACCTTCAAGACGTCTCAAAGCGCTTCACAGAATATATTGTAGAGTGAATTGACGGTATACTTTGTGGCCAAATGGGTACCGCAGCCCATAGCATAAATCGGCCGCTGTTTATAAACACTGGTAATTCTTCTCTGCTCAGAGCAACCACAATGGAAAAGCATAAGGGTTATTGATTATCCTGGAATCTAATGCAGTAACCGAATTTAAAAATCAGGGAATTCAGTCTAGGATGAGCGACTGCTGGGAGGCCCGATAAAAATAATAATAATAAGCCTTACATTTGATATAGCCCCTTATCACGTAGTTGAGACGTCCAAGAGCTAGCACTCAGTGTCAGTTTGTCCACCAAAGCAGCTTGGTCTTGTTTCAGAGAATTTAACCTCTTCACATCGATCTCTCCCCCGCCCCACCCCATGTTATCTTACCAGCATTTCACAGAACGTTGCCTCGTCTTTCCAAACTTCCTCACATAAGCGTTGTTGATCGGGGGACGGGATTTGCTGATTGCAACGGTGGTTAAACTGGCATGCGCTGAGGCACACCCACAAACAGAGCAGCATAGTGCCCACAAAGTCCTGTTGCCCCCACCCCCCACCCCCGGGTTACAAGACAGCGATATGAGTCTACAGAGGAGCCAAAACAACCTGTCAGAGATGCATTTCCCCTCCTCACTCCATCCACGTTACAGAAGATATATCGCACTGAGCATGACGACGAATCATTATCTGCCATGAAAATAATGGCGCTCTCTCACACACAGTGAATCTTGTACTGAATACAATCAAGTACTCCTACATATAATTATCATCATTCTTCCACACGTTTCAGTTGTTGGGTCAGTGCACTATATAAAAAAAAAGGGGGGTAACGGGACTTTGTGGACACCCTGTAGAACATCGGACTGCTGAGAACTATCTTTTAATCCAAACCAGAAAAAATCATTATCCTTCTACAGCTGTTAGACTGCCAATTAACAGTGCTCAATGCATCATTCCTGTGGATTTAACTCACTGGCCGACAAATGCAAATAATCATTATCAGCTTTTCTAGTTCAAACACTATATGCATCATCACACTGAAAATACAACAGTCTTCAACATACTCACGCAACCCTACTTGGAAGGGTTGTCTCCAAGGCACTGTATTGCCAAGTGTCTCCTTTAAACCACGCTCTCTATGAGCCTCATTGAGTAAAATAAAACAGTCAAGTCTTCAGCATTGGTCCCAAGAGAACACATAAGGTTAAAAACACAGAGATACAGCACTGCTGAGCACTCCTGTCACTAATTCAGCTGGGAGACCGAACTGCAACCTTTCCAATGTAAACAGGTACAGCAGCCCTCAACATGGCAGGACGTCAGCCAGTCAAAATCTGAGGACACACCAATTAAAAGGGAATGAAGCGAAAGAAAAAAGTGTGCTACCAAATTGGGAGACCGAGCGAAAGACGGAACTTGTGGTTTTATCTGAAACATTTCAAAACTTCACAATTACTGTTGAGTGTAGTGGCCGGTTTTGATAATAATAATAATAATAATGCTAGCGCATTTGATATAGCACCTTATCATGTTGTTGAGACGTCTTAAAGCGCTTCACAGGCTATAGTGCAAAGTGGATTGACTGCGTATTTTGTGGGCGAAACGCATTGATGGCAGCCAATCTGCCCACTGCAAGGGTCCCATAAATGAAGCTGAATGACCAATTTATCTGGACGATTGTGGGCAATAAAACTGGGACTTGTCCGTTCAAATAATGTCTCGAGATTTTGTTTAACATCCACCAGAAGAATAGGCAGACAAGATTTGATATAGTATCTCATCTGAATCGTACATGCGCTGGGTGGGGTGGGCAAGGGAGAAGAGAGACGGTTGTAACATTGGGTAGAATTGGCTGTTCATCCAATTTGTGATAATCCTGAGTGGTTGTCTTCGCATATTGGACATGAATGTGAACGGTAATATTGATATCAATTGGACTGAAATATGGGTAATTGTCAGGGAGAAATGCTTCGAATGATGGCTGTGCTTTGCAAGGACATAGATTTCACAGCACAAGCTAAACAAAAAGGGCCAGGGGTATCTTTGTCGCTATAGACACAATCAGTTAGCCAGATCTAATTTTACAGCAACACCCATCTCTGGGCACTTCAGTTTGAAAACAGAATATCCTACAAAATGCACAGTTAACAGCAAATCCTGCAACGCTTTGAGACATCTCAACGGCGTGATAAGGTGCTACATCAAATGCAAGGATTATTATTAACATTATTATTTATTATTCCCTTTCAGAGATTCAAAGGTTAATTATGATTTGGTTTGAAGTCGGTGTTTATTTCACAGAGCAGGGCGGGGGGATGAAAGAGGGGAAGTGGGGGTGGGGGGGGGGTGGGGGGAGGTTAAGGCACCCGCTCTTGATTCAGAAGCTTGAAGTGGTTATACTGAATGGTCAGATAAAAATCAGTGAAGCCATCACCTTGTGGTTGTGTGTAACGCATCAATCATCAGGATGGAGGCTGGAGATTGCACCCATAATCTAAATAGAATTCAAACCCCAGGCTTTCGGCGAGCATTAACCTTGAGTGGGAAAATGCAACTTTGGACCCTCAACGTTCAGAGGAACGGGAAGCCTGGATCAGGGAGATTTATTGGTCTGGGCGGCACGGTCTCTGCACCACAGCACAGTCTTTTCACTTCAAACGCGCACGTGAACATTTTAATGCAACTCGGCGGCGGCTATTAATGTTGCCACAAAGCTCAACTGTGGCTCGCAACACCCAGTCTGCTCAGAAACCACCAACCCCAAGTATGTACAGAATTACATTTGGATCACAGACAGTACTGTTCCTATTCTCTCTCTCTCACTCCATCTCCCCGCTCCCGCCCTCGCCCACCCCGCCAAAAAAGGCAGAGGCAAAAATTCCACCGGATCTTTGCCTGCTAGTATGTTTTTGGTCTTCAAATTTAAAAACATGGAAGGTTCTTAAATCGAGGTTTAATCTGGCAGCGGTATTTCTGAAGTTAAACTTTCTTAAATTCAGTTTAAATGCAATTCCTATTATTTTTATTTTAGGCGAGTCCACAGTACCCCACAGGGCTCATCGACAGGACGTGGAAGGGCAGATCAGTCCCTGGGGGCAGGGAGTCATCCCACTCAGCTCCTGTTAACCCTGCAAGCCAAAGCCCTCATGGTAAGCAGGATGGGTCCCTCCAGGGAGAAGGCGCGCATTCCATTCCAACAGTTTATCTCTGGAATTTCCACGTGTAGGTGCGATGAATGGAATTCCCAGTTTGGTTTGGAGACTCTTAAGCAACGGTGAGGGGTGACAGACACCGGCTGAACCCCCACCTCCAAAAAAAAATTGAATTTTCGACAATTCTCTGCCATCTTAAATTTGAACATAGAATGGTTTTACAGATTTAAGACTACGTGAAATTTGGAGGACAACAACAACAACTTGTATGTATATGGCGACCATCACGATCTTCGCGCAGGGTAGCGTCCCAGAGCTTGATGGTTTCGGACAGGACGCCGGGCCGGGGTGGAGGGGGGAACGGAACATTAAGTGTTCAACTTAATATTTCCCAAATACTGAATAAGCAAGTGAAATAAAAGTACCTTTTTTTATAGAGAGTACTGTGATCAGTCCTGCGATCAGGCTGGTAATATAATTCAGGGCTCAGAAGGCTAAACCATGAGTGAAAGTTAAGTGGGCTGTAATAGTCATTTGAATTCTGAAGATCATAGGCCTGAAAGTACTGCCTGGTGTAAGTTATTTGAGCAATATAGCTGTTAATTTTTCTTTGCAGCTTACAGCAGACTGCCCATCAATATTGCGGTACTTTGTGAACTTCCGTCATGTGTAAC